ATTTTTGACCTTTATAACATGTTTTAAAATGTGTTCTGCTACACCAGTGATTTCACCTAAACAGGTAATAAACAGGTAAGCCCACAGCTCTACATTAATGTTGGTCAAAGTCTGTTTTTTTCACGTGTTTTCTTCTCTGTGGGTAACCAATTATCAATTCATTAACACTTATGGATACATGAATCTAAATTAGTAGAAAAGCACATCGCTATCTTGTATCAGATCTGATATCCTGAGCTGCTCAGTGAATCCAGGGCCACATTTTGCCAAACTTGTGGTCAAAATTGCCCTGAAATATGTCTCATTCCAGTTGGTTCTTGCCCTCCCTTCCAATAAGTATGTGGCCTGGTGGTTTTGTGGTATCTGAAAGCGGAGGTAGCGTGGGATAACTCAGGGAACTTTGAGCCAAGTGTGCATTTCTGTATTTTCCATTTATCTGTTAATGATTGGATAAACAATCTTTGAACTTCACAAAAGTTTAATGGTCTTCATGAGTTCGACAGAAGTACGCATTTCCTGTTTCAAGTAGAAATCACTTAACAAATCAAACCTCTGCACTTCTTCACAAATTGTTTGTGGAGCTGATGGGATGTTTAGCTGTGTTGTAGCCTGGGTTGATATCACTTCTACTGACCACAGTCAAACAGGGCCAAACTGGTCCATGACTGGCGTGAATCCAGCTGATAAACTGACCCTCCAAGCGGATACAACTGCCAAACTGGGTTATAGGATTATACAGTGTCTGTTTTATACTTGGCAGGTGCTGCCATTGCCCACAGCAGACTGAAATATGAACACAATAAATCCATCTGAAACCCAAATTCATCTCTGATAACTATAAACAATGGGCGATCTTAGTGGGCAAAGAAAGAATCTGGATCGTTAACGGAGAGGGAGGTTAGAGCTACCGCGGGTCGTGTAATATTTCACACATCTGTAAAAACAAAATGGAGTTCAAACAGAGGATCCAAAGCAGTAGCGCTACGGGCCAGCGCATTCTTTCTCCAGCACTGTAGATGCTCTCCACTAGCCCAAGAGTGAGTGCGGCTAAGGACTCTGGTCTGCAGCTAAGGTCGAGCTCACTGGGTGAAGAAAAGCCAAAAAAGGGCAGGCCTAACCAACAGCAGCTTAGTCTGACTGGGGGGCAAGTTGATGGAAACACTAGGCAACTTTAAGCCCTTTGCTTCCTTGCCACAGTTTCAAATTAGGCCTCATATGGTCACTATGAGTTCTCTGTGAAGAAATAACTATGTGAGATACACCAGAATGTTATATTAAAATGTTAAGTGATTGCTTTCTATTGACCAATATTGGTTCTCCTATATTAAAAGCCTGTCTAAAAGCACGAGCCAGTTAACATTTCTTTATTAGAACGTTTGGGTATATCATGCATAGATATTTGTTGGAGGGGTCATAGTAGTTTTAAAGATAAAATAGCAGCTTGCCAAGTCACTGCTGGCAGCAGCATATGTGCTTTTGTTTATGGCATTTTAGTGATGGTGATGCCCAAAAAGGGCTTAGTGTAACGCATTGAAACCTTCACATCAAGTTCAATGTGCATTTTTAATGCTGAGAGCACAAGAAGAAGCTGCAGAGGAAGAAGAAATGGGTCCATCAAGTAGTAACAGTGATGAAGTTGTCATTTTCTTTTATATCTAGTGCGACTCAAAGCACAAATACTGGTTAACGGCCCATTCTACTAAAAAGGCTGTGTTTCAGCTCTATTAAAGAGCATTAAAGTGAGGTCGGATGTGAAAGACAGCATTATGTTAATGTGTACATTACAACTTTTCAATCAAATAAGCAACAATTTTTTTGTTATAAAATAGATAATTACAAATACTTTGAGTATAATTTGGAACTCCTGTCCATCAAAGTGTAGGTTTTGAGTAGGTTCTATTATGATTTGACAGTCTTTTCTAAGCTATTGTTAAAAATATTGAAAATCTTTTGCTCCAAATGTGGTTTTAAAAGATTTGATCGCTGATGAGCACTGATATCACCACAGGAAGATAAAATCTGTGGCCTTTGGCATTAATTTCCAGGTAGCGCTGTCAAAAATGCTTACAAATATGATACTGTTTTCCTCAAAATGTACCTGGTTGGCCTTTAATATGTTAAGTTAAGGTCTCATATGGTCACTATGAGTTCTCTGTTAAGAAATAACTATGTGAGATACACCAGAATGTTAAATTAAAATGTTAAGTGACTGCTTTCCATTGACCAATATTGGTTGAAGATAAAATCTGTGGGCATTGTTCTCAAGGTAGCGCTGTCACGAATGCTTACAAATATGATACTGTTTTCCTCAAAATGTACCTGGTTGGCCTTAAATATGTTATGTTATTGCAAACTGACCACATAAACCTGCTCAATTGTATTTCAACATTTTGAAAATCTAATATTATGTGTCCCTAAAGATTTAGCAGGCAGTGTAAAAACAATCTATGAACACTGCATTTGATATTCCTTCTGTTGAAAAGCCAGTAACAACTACTACTATTATATTGCTTTTGGAAAAAACACAGTCATAGCTATTACTATTGCATTTGGTATCCCTGTTGCTTTTAAGAGCCAGCCAAAGCTAACAGCCTTTGACCAGCTACTACAGAGGTCACTGTGTTTTCATTAAAGTAACAATACTGTAACTTGAGAATCCTTTTAGAGGGTACCAGCCACCTCAAGTAGCCTAGCAATGGTAATGAATGAAGATAATATGAATTGTCAACCCCCATGTCATGCCCTCTCTCAGGGCAGGAGGAGGTCACCACCTTTAAAACACTCTAAACACAAGCTCCATTGCACATATGCTGCTGACAACAGTGGCGTAGCAGGCTGCTTTCAAAAGAACTGTGACCTTGGTTTCTCCATATTAAACACTTGTTCATGGATAGGAGTCAGTTAACAGTTCAATTTTCTATGTTTTGTATAAACACTGTATAAGACTAATGCAAACTGAGGCTAATCTACAATTATTCTGTTAGTACACACAAATACAGCACTTTAGTCATTTAGTCATGATCATTGAGTGCGTATACATGCACTCAATAATCCAATCATAATCAGATTTCTGCAGTTATCCGATTATTCAAATGGTCATGTAAACACCATACTCCGATCTAGAAAGCTGGATTTTAGCTCAGTAATCAGATTTCTCAGTGCATGTGAACTCTTACTGGATTTCTCAGGCTGCGCATGTGGGAGATCAGACGGTGGAAGTCGCGAGACGCAGCAAAACACCGTTGGAGCAGCGCTGAAACCAAACTAGAAATAAATATTTGAATATTCTTCATCTTCTAGATGATGTATGTTCATATTTTCAGGTAAAGTGACGCGATGTTTCAAATAAAATCTGCGGTATAAAGTTTGAGTTTTACATTGTGTTTACGTCTCGTCTTCTTCTGTGAGTCTATTGGCTGGTTGCAAAGCAGAAATCCAATTATTGCCTGACTCATGTAGACCCAGAGTTTCCCCATTATCTGATTACTCAAGTGCATGTAAATGTGTTGATCGGATTACTGACAAAATCTGATTTTCTGCAGTTATCGGATTATTGAGTGCATGTAAACACACTCATTGACAAGTGAAGGCATTGATAACTATGACTCTCCCTCAACTGCTGAGTTTCTCATAGTGCTTCACAGTGGTACATAGTGGGTGTGTCCATTAGCATAGGAACTGAACTTTTTAGGCACTAGTCTTGGACTCATTTTGGTCTGGAATAAAATGGTGATGTTCAAAAGTGAGAAGTGAGCAGCAGTTCATGTGCTGAACAAGCAAAAAATAATTACATTAACTCGAAAAAGAAATTAGTAACACATCATGAACGGCTAAAGTGGAGCTGAGTACAAATAGATTACTTTAAAAAAAATAGATCACAACAAGGCTACTTAAGTGCACACTTAGAAAAGATGGTTCTTCAAGGGTTTTTAAGTAAAGGCAATGGTTCTATTAGGGCCATGAGTTATATAGCACCAAAAAGGGTTCCTCTGTTACATGCTTGACATTGTAACAATACTAGAACCCATTTTGGTGCTATAAAGGACCATTTTCAAAAAGGTTCTACACAGATCCATATACAACATATTCTCCATCAATCTGAAGAACCACTTCCCCATGCAAAGAACCCTATGAGTTCATTGTAGAAAAACTTGCTGACTCAGATTTCTTTTATATGGTGATGACAGGAACCAGGGGTGGTGATGTCTGCAATCTAACTGTTTACTTTTATTTTTATTTTATTTGCTATCCAAAACAACCAGTGAACCTACGCGTGTCTTCTGCGTGTTTGTATGTAATGTTGATAAGAGTAAAATAGTGGTGAATCTGATAAATATGGTTTTTGAGGTACTGTTTTGGCTGCATACACCTCTCCACCACGAATGGCTTCAAAAAAAAGGACAAAACTTTATCTCAAAGTTACAAAAAAACAATTTCTGAGGCATCTTTATAATCATTTCATATAACAGCTTTCTAGGAAAAAGTGTTTAGGGCATTAAATGCTTCGGACGTCTGGTTCCTATCACCACTCAATAAGTTCCTACAGATAGATGTAGTTCAGACCACTCTGAATTACGCAAGACTATAGAGGCCATGAGCTGTTGCTATAATTTTTTCTGCATTGTTATTGTGAGATAACGAGTTAATTATTTTGTGATCTCAAGATAACAACTTTGTTATCTTGGGATCACTAGATAATTAACTCATAATCTCAAGATAACGATGTTATCTTGAGACAAAATGATATCTAACTCATTATGTCCAGATAACAACCTTGTTATCTTGAGATAACAAGATAATTAACTTGTTATCTCAAGATAGCAATCCAGAAAATTAGAAATCTCTCATGGCCTCTATAGACTTCCGTTATGAATGACTATATTTTAACCATTTAATTGTGCAGAAATGTAAAAAATCGGTGGACTTGTCCTTTAAGTACATATAACCGAGCTAAGGTCCAGCTCTGACTGTGAGGGTGTGCCGGGGGCTGGTTGACCTACCTGTGTCTGCTGGCCACCCTCGCTGCGCTCTCAGACTCTCTCTGCTCCGCATGCTGAGGGTATCTAGACGCTCCAGCTCTCCACATGTGGCCAGAGACCACCAAGACCACAAGCCAGCAGAGCAAGTGCTGCGCCATGGCGCTCAGACACTGGAGAAATCCTCAGTCCAGCGACTCAGGAGGGAAACTACATCGAAGAAAAGAAGGAATCTGCTGAGAAGTTCTCCTGTTCGCTTCTGCTCCAGATCTGCCGATGGAAGAGCGGCAGCCGCAGCTTCGCTCCTCTCAGTGTATAAATCCAGAAAAGCGTCCTGTTTTACTTTTACTTTTCTTGAATGTTATTTAATGTCATTAAATGAGTAAAATAAACTCGTGGCGACTCATTCAGCCCCCTCAAACTCTCAGTCTCCTCTGTCCATCACACGTTGACCGGTGTTCATATATTTCAGCAGCTCCTCGCAAAAAACGCGTCTGATACCGTCAGACGTCTCAGTGACTGATGAAGCGCTTCCATCATTCCCAGCAGAAGCAGCCAGAGTGGAGGAGCCCACCGACACCCGCACAGCTGATGGGGTGGAGGAAAGTGGCGAACTCTGCTGGAGAGCGTCAGACAGATCTCAGACCCTAATGTGAATACTGCCTCTCTCTCTCTCACTCTCACTCTCTCTCTCTCTCTCTCTCTCTCTCTCTCTCTCTCTCTCTCTCTCTCTCTCTCACTGTCTCTCTCTCTCTCTCTCTCTCTCTCTCTCTCTCTCCAAGGCAGCGGAATTACCCTGATGGAAGGATATGAAATCATGAAATCTTCTTATCTGTTCCTGCCAAAAACTTTGTAACTGCCTCTCCTCTTGTATTCTACTGTATATACTGTAATCCTTTTTTGCTTTAACTCAAATAAGGTGTGTTGTACCTAAAGCTGACCTACACTTAAATGGCATTTTGCAATGTAGTCTGTTGCCGTTGGCAGCAGTAAGTAAAACTTACTTCTTTCCTATTGGCTCCTGGTTCCATCTATTTGCATAGTGGGTATTTCTTTCCCCTTGTTTTACTCACCGTCAATGCGTTTTTGGCGTTTTTGATGTTTTTATCTTTTACACTATTAGTCACGTGGTTTGGGTTAAAGTGTTCAACTATCATTGAAAGGCACAGCATGAAGCGCAACACCGTTTCTGTCTCAGTAAATGAGTATGTTTAGGTCTCCAAATCCTTAAATGTTACATAGTGCAGCTTTAATGTACAACCCCATGTCCAAAAAAAGTTGGGACGCTCTGCAGAATGTAAATTAAAAAAAGATGCAATGAAATGCAAATCAAGTAAACCATATTTTTTAAGGAAAATAGTACAAAGACAACATATCAGATGTTGAAACTGAGAAAATTGATTGGTTTTTGAAAAATATATGACCATTTTGAATTTAATGCCAACACAACGTTCCAAAAAAGTTGGGACGGGGGCACGTTTACCACTGTGTTTCATCACCTCTTCTTTTAACAACACTGTGTAAGCGTGTGGGAGACACTGCAGATTTCTTGCAGTTATCGGATTTGGTTATATGGTTTGGGGGGCTGAAAGCAACCCTGCACATAAAAAGAGCAACTTTAGACAGCCATGCTTCTGCATTTCAATAAAAGTTTTTTTATTTTTTTATTTTATTGATGTAGTTATATGATATTAAAGCAGCACTACACAAGACTTTTTTGTTAAATCTGAAAGAAGTGATCGGGAGAAAAACAGTCTATACTATGGTGCGCATGTGCTGCTATGATTCACCCATTAGAACCTGACATAATTTATAAGTAAAAATTTTCAAGAAGTGCAATGCCACACAGGAAGGTCCAGTTTAGGCCTCAGATGCAAAATCAGCATTATACTAATGAAGATATTATGACAATAGTAGATAATTCACTCACATCATCGGGAGACACTTCCTTCACCAAGTTTTGACTGAGTTCTCTTTGAATACTTCCTCGTACTCTCAAATAGCAATCATATTTTTCTGCTTGCAGGGGTTAGGCAGTTACGTTTTTTCACCATTAAGGTCTCCAAATCCCCAAATGTTACATAGTGCAGCTATAATGTACAACCACATTTCCAAAAAAGTTGGGACGCTCTGCTGAATGTAAATAAAAATAGAATGCAATAAAATGAAATCAAGTAAAAAAATCAAGCGTTTGGGAACTGAGGAGACACTGCTGTAGTTTTCAAATATAAATATTTTTTATATATTTGAAATATTTTCCCATTCTTGTTTGATATAGGATTTCAGCTGCTCATCAGTTCGGGGTCTCCTTTGTCATATTTTTCATTTTATAACCCTCCAAATGTTTCAGTGGTGACAGGTCTGGACTGCAGGCAGGCCAGTTTAGCACCCATACTCTTTTCATACGGAGCAATACTGTTGTTATACGTGCAGAATGTGGTTTTACATTGTCTTCCTGAAATAATCAAGGCCTTCCCTGAAAAAGACATCATCTGGATGGCAGCATATGTTGCCAAAACCTGTATATATTGTTTATCATCAATGGTGCCTTCACAGATGAGCACACTGAACACTGAAGTCATCTTTAGCCCAGAGGACACAGTGTCCATGATTTGCAAAAAGAATTTCAAATTTTGATTTTTTGTACCACAGGACAGTTTTCCACTTCCCCTCAGTCCATTTTAAATGAGCTCGGACCCAGAGAAGGTGGCAGCATTTCTGGATCCTATTTATGTACAGGATTATGTTTCTTCTTTGCATTTTAGAGCTTTAACTTGCATTTATAGATGTAGCGACAAACTGTTTTTACAGAGAGTGTTTTTCAGAAGTGTTTCTCAGCCCATTCAGTGATTTCCACTACAGAATCATGTCTGTTTTTAATGCAGTGCTGCCTGAGGGCCCAAAGATCATGGGCAGCAATTGCTCGTTTTCGTCCTTGTCTCTTGCATAGAGAGATTTCTCCAGATTCTCTGAATCTTTTAATGTTATTATGTACTGTAGATGATGAAAAGCAGAAGTTCTTTGCTATTTCACGTTGCCTCTCTGGGATGCTTTTTTATACCCCATCATGTTACTGACTTGTTGCCAATTAACAACCAGGTTTTTTTCAGGTCTTTTGTTGCCCCCGTCCCAACTTTTTTGGAACATGTTATTGGCATCAAATTCAAAATGTCTATATATTTTCAAAAAACAATAAAAATCCTCAGTTTTATTTGATATGTTGTCTTTGTACTATTTCCATTAAATACAGGGGTTAAATGATTTGCACATCATTGCACTTTGTTTTTATTTACATTTTGCCCAGCATCCCAACTTTTTTGGAAATGGGGTTGTAAACTCTTGGCATAGTATTCAATTATTATTCTTAAAACTTTTTATTCAGTGATTTATATAGTAACTACTGTGAAACTAATTGGGTAGTATTGTGCAAGTAGGCAATCGAAGTGTGATCCAGCATATTGTTGCTGTCATATCAAAACCATGTCTCATGTTTTTCATAATTTTGTACATCATTTCATAAAAAATGGACCAATAAAAATGGTCCACAATAACCTGACATAAAATCTCATAACATTAACATACATTTACCCCTTAACATCACAGGCTCATTACATACTAAGGCTTATCAATCAGTAACTACAGGGATTTAAGTACAAACTGGCTGAAGTGCAAACGATGGGCCTGCTGGTGGGCCCTTGCCGTTTAAGGGTTAAAAGTTAACAATATTGTTACCTTCTTCTGTGAAGTTACCATTGAGATACATGGTTAGGGCAGCAGTGATCTTGGCCCCTGTAGTTTAAGGGGTTAAATTACAACAACAAAATCCAAGTTAATTAAAATAATTTTGCCCTGTGCAGGAAACAACTGACCCACTTCATTTCATCCCAGATTCTCAAGGTTCAGGGATAGCGTCAAGGGAATATCTACAGTAACTGGAAGGGCAGATAGACTGATAAAGGACATGCCCTTTCCCCTCGAAATTAAGGACAAGGCAGTTGGAATGATTTGGTGCAGTTTCATAGAGTGTTTTCTTAAAGAATCATCCTTTGAAAGGTTTTCTAAGGAACCAAAAGTGGTTGTTTTACAGCATCTCTACAAAGAATCCCTTTGCCACTTTTTTCCCACCAATTTTACAAAATAGTGGAATAATAATAAGTGGTTCAGTGGGTGGATGTGAAAACATGCACCGCAGAGAAACTTACTGACACAATTTTTTTACAGTGGTGCTGAAAGGAACCAGGAGTCATGATGTCTACAACTCAGGAGTTTATTTACTATCTGAAATGAACAGTGAATCTAGTGAGTCTTCTGAGCTTTTTATTTGTAATGTTAATAATGGTAAAACAGTCATGAATCTGGGTGCTGGATAAATTTGGGTGCTATTTTTGCCATATCTGCATGTACCTCTCCACCTTTATGTTTTAGGCCAAAGCATTTTCACAGAACTACCATTAAACAATGTTTTGTATTAGTAAAACAATACCGGGTATTTATATTGTAAAATAATATCTTGCATTTTTATTGTAAAACAGTGTCTTCATCTAATATTCGTAACCATTACATGTAACAGTTTTCTGTGTGGTGGCTTTCAGAGGCATGGAATGCTTCGGATGTCTGGTTCCTATCACCACTATTGTGAATAGTTCTGACTTGCCATGTTTCTCTAGAATGGCACTTTTTATATCAAACCTCTCTGAATGACTTTGTTCATATATTAGCCATTTCATTAAGTAGAGATTTTCACAAATCAGTGGAATTTTCATTTGAGCCCAGAGATCTGAGAGCCACGGCCTAAATGGACCAATTTGCTTAACATCCAGGAACACAGATAGTTTGGAATACAGGAGTGTGATGATATATAGTGATCACTTATCTCCATGTGAAATAAAGCAGTATCTTCTCAGGCCAGAGGCCCAGCTGTTAATCTGTGTGAAAGGGAGAAATTCAGGGGGTCCTGTTTTTTGGACAACAATCAAGTTGGATGTATTTAAAGTCAGCAACTAAGCCGGGTAGATGATAGATAAGAAAAGTTTCTGAGCATGGAATGTGTGCGTCTTCCTTTCATTGCTTTCGCAGCCAGCACAGCTTGACATTAAACCACCCCCTTTCTTGGATTTGAATGTTGGTGCAAAGTGAGATCTTCATAATCTTTAAAATAACACAAATGCCACATTTGTCTGTACTAGGTGTCACGTTCATCACAGCATGTTCCAATCTATTCTCCAATTATGTCAAACTGACTTAGATTCTGCTCCATCTTCATCCTCCTAATGCTTTTTTCCCTTTAAACAGTAAAAAATAAAGTATTAATTGCCATGATTTCTGCGTCCAGCACTGAAGTGCTTATAAGTCATTTAAACTGGGCTGTGATATTATGTTCCTGTCTCTGCTGGATCTTCCCCTCGTTCATTTTGAACCTCAAAGCGCTGTTAAGACTCTGGACTTTGGACAAAAGATTAAAATTCCAGTGAGGACAGTTTATTTGCAGTGAGGGAACTAAAGCTGTGGTACACAACGCACAACAAACAAGAGGGTATTTTGCTGGACACAGTCTGTTTCATGTATTCACAAGCACTCCTGAGACTTAGAGAACAGAGCTCATTGTCTCCACAAGACCCTAAGGCACGCTGTGATTTCTACAGTCTTTCCATGAATATTCAGGTTCTTGCAC